ATAACTAAAACGGCAAAAAAAATTTAATATGGGAATCATATTGTTTTTATTACCGTTCATAGTATAAGTTTTATATTTACCCTTTCAAATGCTTTGTCAATATTAAAGTCTGTCAAATTGAGGAACTCCCGTAGAATTGTCTCATCAGTCGTTTTTCCGAGGTATAAATTGTTTTCTCCTGCAACATTAAACAAGAAAAATAATGGTTATTTTTTCATACTTATACTTAAGTTAAGGTTTACTTGTAACATGTCAAAATCACTACTATTCTTAGTTTTAAAAATTTGACAGAAAATAGCACAATTTAGTAGTTGGAATCTGTTTACTGGCTCATTCTTTTAGAGGACCTGAAGTCGATTTCATATAAAAGCAGTGTATAACTTAGTATTCACTTTTCTAAAACTTGACACAATTCTTAAATGTTATACTGGACAAGATATTTCATACCCTAGTAAATTTTTGAAATATTTGATATGTAGTTGTGCTTGCTAGGATGATTTGGATTATTACTTGTGTTTAGGTAGTAGGTACTTTCCGACATATGAATATTTGCAGTTTATTTATAACTGTATTTATTCATGTATTTTGACTTTCCATTAAGATTTTATTTTTGGTAAATATTAATTAAAGATATTTTTCTTTTTAAATTTATCCTCTAAGATTTAATTTTCTATACTATTTCCCTATAGTTTTCTTTCTACGATAAAATGCTATGCTTCTACGGAATAAAAAAATATAGCTTACAATTCAGTTTGTAGACAGTAAAATTCAAAATATTGATTTTTTTTACTTTTCAAATGGATTTGTTAAAGGTGTTGACATTCTTATTTTCCTATTCAATAAATGATCTTTGCCTTGAAAACAGAACATCAACCTATTTCTGGTTGTGTATGTTTCAGCTTTACCACTCTAAATACTCTATGAAGCTGTTTTAGTTTTAACTTTTTACAATAACTTTTACTATATAAATAAAAAAATATAAAATAATCAAAAATAATAAAAATAAAACAACAAAAAAGTAAAATAAAAAATAAATCAAATAGCCTAGTATTTTTTGGTATTTCTAAAATGCTGTTGTATATTTTACGTACTTAGTTTTTTTGTACCGTACTAGGCCATCTTATTCAGTTTAAAAACAGCATTGATATGAGTATTTTTATTGTTTACAACAATCTTCTTTAAACTACTCCTACAGTATGAGTGAGCGCCCAGGAAAAAATTATTATTGTCTCTAAAAAAACAGCTTATGTAAACATAACTCTTCTTTCTATATAATTAGAATATTGACAGAACACAGTTTTATCGTTAGGGTTCGTTTAGTTTGACCCTGTTATCAGCTTAAAGTCCACAGAGTGACCCTTTGACCAACTTTCGATTGTTGTTGTACATTCAAAGTCTGTCCTAATTTAAATACATTTCAATTCATCGTCATGTAAATCAGGTGTTTTTTAACACAGGTGTTGTTTTAATCAGGTGTTGTAAGTGAGAATTACTTAATACTAAAAGAAAAGGTTACCTCATGAATGGTGGTCACTCACTGGTGATTACTTTAGTTCAGTTAGAGAAATCTTCATAATGTATGGCTATAGAGACTAGAAAATCATACTAAAAGTTTAGAACTTAAAGTTTTTAATTGGATTTTGTAATACCTTTAATGAGTTAATCAAATGTGTTATTTTGTAATTTCCAATGCTAATTAATAATAAATCTTTGAATTTCAAAAGCTTTTTGCTGGATTTATCAATTTGTTTTGTTTGCTGTTAGGTTAAAGCTATATATTTTCCACACGAAGAGAATTAAGATTCTCAAGTTAACAAAACACATAAACAGCTAATTTATCAAACATTCATTTGGTGGCTTAATTGGCTTGTTAAGTAGTAGAAAGAAGAAGAAAAATCACGAGTGCCAATTACTGAACATAAATTGCTTCAATGTTATTGTTGGTTTGAAACCGTAGTTAAAGAAATCAAAGTAGAAAACACAAACAAAAAACAAGGGAAAGTAGACGTTTTTTTTAATTTCCTTCAATTCTGTGACCAATTTTGAAAAATCTGATTCAAAAAAAAATTTTCAATAAATTTCTACTATACATATAAACTGTTAGTATTCTAAGTCTTAAGACCACTCTAGCCTGCTACCCATGGCAGAGGCAGATATTTTGGTAACAATTGCACATAGTACAAATGCATGCAAGCCAAAATTATAACTGAAGTTGATATGAAATCTAACCTCTTATCAGCAAGACTAAATGTGTCCTATTGATAGAATTGATTATTGTTGTTTATATTGTTACAACTTCTGCTGAGCTAGTGAGTTCATAGCACTCATTTAATTGTAAACAATATTTATCTCAGCCGGTTGTAAAATAGTCTGTGCTGTTTATAAATGTAATTTAAATTCGGTAATATTGAGTATAGTTGTACTTAAAAAGGATTAAAATTTTGTTTTCATTTAGTATAGTAAAATATAATTCAAATTTTGATTTCGGATTTTTTAGTCTTACAATATCAACTTTTAAAGTTAATGAAATCAGCACTTTGTTAACTGACGATGTATTAATTTACAATTGATTCTATAAAATACTGCAAAAAAAAAAAACATACAAGAGACAATTATTTTAGACAGTAGACACTAACTACACTACCCAAAGAGTTTTCATTTTAATTTTTTAGGCTTAGAGTTTAAAGCTTAATCCAATCCTTCTAAAACAATTTTATAAAACAGCTTAACAGTGTGCATATTATTTTTTTAAACCTTATTAAGTGAAAATATACAGGGTGCCCCAAGAAGGGGTTTTCACTTGCCAATTTGCCCATTTATGCACAGTTTTGGAACTTTACACTATTTAATCAAGTAAGTTTTGAAAATATTCTGGTAAAATTCAAGATTTTTGAACAACTAATCCACAACTTAAGTAACAAATAAAAAACTCAAATCTTCAACAATCTTTTCAGGCAGTTCAATACAATAAAATATATACTAATTGCTTTTGACTAAAATATTTCCTTGTAAATTTTAATTCAGCTTTTATACAAATATGATAACTTAAACTTGTACTTACCCTCGACAAGTTTCTTGAGAGCTTCCACAGCCTCCGTTTCTCCCGCCATGGTGTCCACTACACCACTAGTGACCACTACACACTAACACTAACACTAGTACCGCCCCCAGTCACACTATCTACACACTGGCGACACACGGGCTATCTCGGCCCATCTGTGCGTCATACCACAGTCGGGGCTTTGACTTCTTTGAGATGAACAGTCGAGCAGTTTTACATAAAATGTTATTGGAAAATGGTTTGGATCTGATGAAAATTTAAATTTTTGGTTGGTGCAGTTAGGTTTTGTTAGTGTAATAAAATAAAAGTTATCTAAGACATGGTTGTGGGTCAAAATCGACATTTTAAAGACAACAAAGAGATGTAACTGAAAAGCATAAAAAGGGGCAAGTTTCTTGAGTTTTTCAAAATTAACTTAAGTTTGGTTAATAATTTAAAAACTAGTTTAACGCAATTGAATTTTAAATTTTAAATTCCGTATTATAAAGTATACAGTGATCCCCACTTTAATAATTAGTTTATAAAACATCTTATATACAGTCATCTATTCTTCATTTATACTTTTAATTAGATAAGGATTATTTAGTCTATTGTTTACTTAACGATCACTTAATGGTTTCAAATAATAAATGGTTTTACCCTTAGGTTCGATTATACCGTATCTGAGAATATGAATGAAAAAAACTGTTTACTGTACAGTAAATTAATGGAAAATAACGCTACAAATATTGAAGTAGTTTCACTATTTTTTACTATACTTGATTACATTCTCCATTCACACATAGAATTGTATAAAAAATAACAAAAACTAATATATATGGAGCCTTATTATACGGGGTTTTGACAATACGTTTCATAAACTTCCACACATAAATTTGTCCACCATGTATAGTTAAAAAACCTCGTTTGAATATAGTAAACAGCTACAGTAATAAACATTTTATCCGTTGATAAAAGTCTGTAGATACATTGTCAAAATATTAACGAAATATACACAGTATGACATCTGTTTTACCTTCATAATGTATTTTTATGTCGCACGTCAAAATCTGCTTTACCCATAGCCGACTTGTGTAAGAAGGCTAATATAAATTAGACTCGAAGCTTATAAATTTCTTTTATGCTACTGAATCGTTTGAAAATTTAATATTCTAGCATTGATTTCTCAACGCTTCGTGATAGCCTGGTAAACTGAGCAATATTCTTAGTGATTGTCAACATTAAATCTGAAGTGAGCAAGTTCTAAGATCAACACGCATGACCACGCTCTATTTCGCAACAGAACAACTTATGAATCTTAATTACGAATCCATCCATGCTATTGCTGCATGACAAGAATTAAATCTTAAGAGAAAAGAATTTATTTATAAAAATAAACACTGCCTTAAAAAATAAGGTTGCCAATGACACAGAAAAAAATATACACTTAAAATATTGAAGGATTATAACAGCTATAAGACTGATTAATTTAACTTGTCCGGATGAATTTAAATATATTTTTTTTTAAATTCATGTGAGAATTACGTGTGTGAGCAAGTTTTAAGCAATTAAAATAAAATTAGTAACTTTGAGGTAATGGAGATAAAGAAAAATAAAGGATTGTAGGGGAGGGTTTTGCGTTTATATTTTTTTTCTACTTACGTCATTAGAAAAAGTAGTATAAAATATAATATAAATCCTTGACTAGTGTTTGCAATCGTGTACGATTTCCTTAAACAGAGTTTTGTTTAAAACATGCAAAATGTATGTGAGCAAATTTTAAAAATCTAAATAAATAGTAAAATATCAGCATGGTATGGTCCTTAGTTATACCTGGACTTGAGATTTGTATGAAGAGAAAGCACAAAAAAGAAATGTGCATAGTAAAAACATTCTTCAAATTCGTGTTTTGTAACACATCAAAACCCCATTCTTATTTAAATATAGATAAATGGAACAGTTAACATAAAAACAATAATTTATTACATTTAACAATTACAGTTTGTAATAAGAAAATAAGTACGTCAAGGCCTTGCGCTAGAAGTCTTCAGGTTTCTTCATATATCCGTATGACAATAAATCTGAAATATAAACAGTTTTAGTTATTTTTTTCCATCAACATTTTAATTTCATTCAAACTTGCAAGAAATAAATTATTCGGATTTTCCTTCATTTTAGACAGAAAAACATACCCACCACAGCAAACCTGCAAAACTAAACTAATTTCCATTTGCCTGATTGGATTTTCACTAAAACATTTCCGTAAACATTTAAGACCTATTCCCTTTGAAATTAGATTTACAAACATTTGGCTTGCTGCTACAGGGAAGGAAAGAAATATTGGTTAAAAATAATAGATTATAATTAAATACACACATTTTACAAATTATGTGCAGCAAGATGAAAAAAAGATCTGTCCTGGGTCTAGGTCTTACCATACCACCTAGATAATAGCGTCTTCGCTAAAGGTAAATTATCTAAAACCAACGTTTCCTACTTTAAGTGAGACGATTAATTATTATTTTCATATACCTGATTATAATGTAGACTTACGAATATTTTTAGGATGAATAGTACAGTACTCTTGAAATAAATAGAGGTGGATCTTGTTTTCCATACTTAAAAAGTTCTTGTTTCAACAAGTTGTACCTGATAATCGTGTATTTTGAGGGTCCAGGTATTCTTTTACCCTCTTCGCCTGCACTGGTGAAGGTCTGTCACCCCCGTACTCTCTGGGTAAAGCTGAAGGCGACACATGACTGTGCAAACTTTCCATGGAGTTGTGGAAATATACCTGCATAACCATCAGGGAAAATAATGAATGCTTATAAAAATCCAAGCCTAGTTTTCGTAAATGCCGTGTTTTGAGTGTGTTGTGTTTTAGAGTATGCTTGACGACATTTCAGGAAGGGTTATTTAAAGGCCCTCACGGGATTCGGAAATTATTAGGACCTGCTAAAAAGAGCAAACCTCAAATCATCTACTACAAGGAACGGTTATAGCTGAGACGGAAAATTTGGTGTGTAAACTATAAAACTATATAGACTTAAATAATCATAACAGGTTGGACTTAATATCAAACACTCATAGATATGGTGGCCCATGACGACAAATGACTAAGAAATCGTGATTAGGTGAAAGAATAATCGGGGATAAAAATTGTTGAAGGAATGTAAAACCACTACCGATGTAATCATGTGATTGCATGCAATTCTCGTTTCAAGAATTCGTTTCAAGAATTGTTGATCATGGCTATATTACCTATATAGTTAATACTTAGTTCATTATTAATTCCTTTTTGTACAATATCTAGCATTTAACTGTAATTTATCCCACACATATTTTAATATTAAAAATATTTAAGCTACACTCCTTTGTTATCAAAATGCTTAGTTTTAAATTGGGTAACCACTTTGTTTTACATAAGTGTTATATATACCACCTAAATAATTAAAATGCTTATTCTCTTAAAAATAAATTTTTGAAGGAAATAAAGTCCTAAAGAATAAGTATTTTTTAGTTAAAGTATTACTACCAGCTATTTCTGTTATCCGTATAATAGCCGATAATATAGCTAAAACTATTGAACTGTTTGTCGATCTAGTATTTTGGCTTTGCCATAGTAATAGTTCTGAACTATTTACATTATAAGAATAAGAACCTTGTTTTTCGTCTCCTCCTTGAGGAAGGGGAACACCAGACTGACCAACAAGCCGACCACCCAGCCATAGTTGATCACGTGGTATTGTATGTTTTCGATAGGTAAACTCTGAAAAATCACAAAAAACACAATAGACTAAATATAAAACCCCTTTAATGGTTATTGCATTATTACTTTGAATAAACATATGAGTTTCAATTTAACTTTCATCCCTATACCAAAGTGCATGAAAAAGTATTGTTTTCTATAGATTTTAGAGTTTGAGTTTTGGAATATATCCGTTGTGGGCCCTCCTGAACCCAAAAAGTAGTTTTCGAAGTGATGTCTGTGTGTGTCTGTCTGTATGTATGTGTGGATGAGTACAGAGTTATAATTCTTATAATTCAAAAAAATAGTGCAACCCATTGCTGAAACAATTACGGTTCTAAAGTAATTGCAACATTTGACATTTCCCCTAATTTCATTATTCCCTCCGCTTGCTCACAATAAAGGTTGTCCACAAGCGAATGGGAGAAAGTATGTGTAAGATCTGATACAGTTTATTATTGTTTCTATCCACCAATTACAAGACAAACAGTGGTATCTAGGCATGTTAGCTGGTTTAGTGTCTTGGACCTGCGGTGCAAGGGGGATGGGTTCAATTCCCACCTTATACATACTAATTTGAGGGATTTGCTCTTCTTTCCCTGGTATGTGGTTCAAAATGAACTTGTGTAAACATAGTAGTGCAAATAAACTAGGTGGCGTTCGCAGAGGCATCCACAAAATTGAGCGGAGTCATCAAGGGTTTATATTATATTGTTTTTGTCATACTGCAGTAAAAACAATAGTTTTAATGCATGCGTTGAGGGTCTAAAGTAGCATTTTTAGTCTTTAGGGAGTATAAATTGTTTTTAGCCTCTATGGAATGAACATCAGCTGTTGTCAACTCAGTTGGAAATTTCGATTGTAAACGATTGAATGTATCGAAAATATGTATAGATTCGTGCTTCGTAAATATTTTAACCTACAGTCTACAGTCTCTTCCCATAGCATTTTACCATTGCAGATACATTAATCCATTCCCACACTCAACACTGCTCACCTTTACTACTTCCTTCACAGTTCCCACAATCCGGACAGCTCGCCTTGACTACCTCCTTCACCACTTCCTACGTCCCGGACCTGTTTTCCTCCCTTCCCATAGCATTTTAGGATTGCAGATCCCTTAATCTAATCGTCATTAACAGTTCCCACACTCCAGACTACTCGCCTTGACTACTTCCTTCACCCCTTCCAACGTCGCGGACCTGTTTTCCTCCCATCCCATAGCATTTTAGGATTGCAAATACCATAATCTAATCGTCATAAACAGTTCCCACACTCCGGACAGCTCGCCTTGACTACTTCCTTTACCACTTCCAACGTCACGGACCTGTTTCCCTCCCTTCCCATAGCATTTTAGGATTGCAGATCCCTTAATCTAATCTTCATTAACAGTTCCCACACTCCGGACTGCTCGCCTTTACTACTTCCTTCACCACCCCCTACGTCACGGACCTCTTTCCCTCCCTTTCCATAGCATTTTAGAATTGCAGATACCTTAAACTAATCGTCATAAACAATTTCCACACTCCGGACAGCTCGCCTTGACTACTTCCTTTACCACTTCCTACGTCACGGACCTGTTTCCCTCCCTTCCCATACCATCATAGGATTGCAAATACCTTAATATAATGGTCATAAACAGATCCCACACCCCGAACAGCTCGCCTTTACTACTTACTTCACCACTTCGTCAGCACTTCCAACGTCGCGGACCTGTTTCCATCCCTTCCAATAGCATTTTAGGATTGCAGATACCTTAATCTAATCGTCATAAACGGTTCCCACACTCCGGACAGCCCACCTTTACTACTTCCTTCACCACTTACTACGCCACGGACCTGTTTTCCTCCCTTTCCATAGCATTTTAGGATTGCAGATCCCTTAATCTAATCTTCATTAACAGTTCCCACACACCGGACAGCTCACCTTGACTACTTCCTTCACCACTTACTACGCCACGGACCTGTTTTCCTCCCTTTCCATAGCATTTTAGGATTGCAGATCCCTTAATCTAATCTTCATTAACAGTTCCCACACTCCGTACTGCTCGCCTTTACTACTTCCTTCACCACCCCCTACGTCACGGACCTCTTTCCCTCCCTTTCCATAGCATTTTAGAATTGCAGATACCTTAAACTAATCGTCATAAACAATTTCCACACTCCGGACAGCTCGCCTTAAATACTTCCTTTACCACTTCCTACGTCACGGACCTGTTTCCCTCCCTTCCCATACCATCATAGGATTGCAAATACCTTAATATAATGGTCATAAACAGATCCCACACCCCGAACAGCTCGCCTTTACTACTTACTTCACCACTTCGTCAGCACTTCCAACGTCGCGGACCTGTTTCCATCCCTTCCAATAGCATTTTAGGATTGCAGATACCTTAATCTAATCGTCATAAACGGTTCCCACACTCCGGACAGCCCACCTTTACTACTTCCTTCACCACCCCCTACGTCACGGACCTCTTTCCCTCCCTTTCCATAGCATTTTAGAATTGCAGATACCTTAAACTAATCGTCATAAACAATTTCCACACTCCGGACAACTCGCCTTTACTACTTCCTTCACCACTTCCTATTTCACGGACCTGTTTTCCTCCCTCCCCATAGCATCATAGGATTGTAAATACCTTAATATATTGGTCATAAACAGTTCCCACAGTCCGGACATCTTGCCTTTACTACTTACTTCACTACTTCGGCACTTCCTACGTCGCGGACCTGTTTCCTTCCCCTCCTATAGCATTTTAGGCTTGCAGATACCTTATCTAATCGTCATAAACTTCGGACAGCTCACCTTGACTACTTCCTTCACCACTTCCTACGCCACGGACCTGTTTTCCTCCCTTTCCATAGAATTTTAGGAATGCAGATACCTTAATCTAATCGTCATAAACAGTTTCCACACTCCAGACTGCTCACCTTTACTACTTCCTTCACCACTTCCTACGTCACGGACCTCAAGCTAGTGTCGTCATTTGATTATATTTATGATCCATACCGTTTCTGTTCTAATATCTGTGGAATAATGCTATCAGCTATTTCTTTATTTACTACATTTAAAAGTCAACAGCTGATCATATGTTTTTGTTTTTGTGTCAAATACTGCTTCCATAAGGATTACATTGAAACTTTGAGACCCAGTGGGGCGGATTCCTGAGAGATTTTTTTAACGCCATATAGATGTTGGCACTCACCGGTATGGTATTTATCACCATGCAAAATTTGAAAACGATTGATTCAGCCGTCTAGGAGGAGTTTGCGTATTACGAAATGCATAAGAGTCGACGTATAAGAGCTACTAGGTGGCGTTCGCAGAGGCATCCACAAAATTGAGCGGAGTCATCAAGGGTTTATATTATATTGTTTTGGTCATACTGCAGTAATACCAGTCGTTTTTAATTCAAGCGTTGCGGGTCTAAAGTAGCAATTTTACTCTTTAGGAAGTAAAAAAAGTTTTTATCCTCTATGGAGTAAAAATAGTATTTATCCTCTATGGAAAAAAATCTGCTGTTGTCAACTCAGTTGTAAATTTCTATTATAAACGATTGCATGTATCGAAATATGTATCGATTCGTGCTTCGAAATTATTTTAACCTACAGTCTACAGTCTCTTCCTAAAGCGTTTTAGCTTTGCTGATACATTAATCCATTCCCACACTCAACACGCTCACCTTTACTACTTCCTTCACCACCCCCTACGTCGTGGACCTATTTCCCTCTCTTCCCAAAACATTTTAGGATTGCAGATATATTAATGTAATTGCCAAAGACAGTTCCCACACTCTGCACTGCAAGCCTTACCACTTCCTTCATCACTTCCTACGTCGCGGACCCGTTATCCTCCCTTCCCATAGTATTTTATGATTGCAGATATCTTCATCTAATCGTCATAAACAATACCCACACTCCGGACTGCTCGCCTTTACTACTTCCTTCACCACTTCCTACGTGACGGACATGTTTCCCTCCCTTCCTATAGCATCATAGGATTGCAAATACCTTATTATAATGGTCATAAGCAGTTCCCACACTCCGGACAGCTTGCCTTGACTACTTCCTTCATCACTTCCTACGTCGCGGACCCGTTTTCCTCCTTTCCCATAGCATTTTATGATTGCAGATACCTTAATCTTATCGTCATAAACAGTTCCAACACTCCGGACTGCTCGCCTTTACTACTTCCTTCGCCCCTTCCTACGCCACGAAACTGTTTCCCTCCCTTCCCATAGCATTTTATGATTGCAGATACCTCAATGTAATCGTCATAAACAGTTCCAACACTCCGGACCGCTCGCCTTTACTACTTCCTTCGCCACTTCCTACGCCACGGAACTGTTCCCATCCATTTCCATAGAATTTAATGATTGCAGATACCTTAATATAATTGTCATAAACAGTTCCTACACTCCGCACAGCTTGCCTTGACTACTTCCTTCATCACTTCCTACGTCGCGGACCCGTTATCCTTCCTTCCCATAGAATTTTATGATTGCAGATATCTTCATATAATCGTCATAAGCAGTTCCCACACTCCGGACTGCACGCCTTTACTACTTCCTTCACCACTTCCTACGTGACAGACATGTTTCCCTCCCTTCCCATAGCATCATAGGATTGCAAATACCTTAATATAATGGTCATAAGCAGTTCCCACACTCCGGACAGCTTGCCTTGACTACTTCCTTCATCACTACCTACGTCGCGGACCCGTTTTGCTCCCTTCCCATAGCATTTTATGATTGCAGATACCTTAATCTAATCGTCATAAATAGTTCCAACACTCCGGACTGCTCGCCTTACTACTTCCTTCACCACTTCCTACGCCACGGACCTGTTTATCTCCCTTCCATAGCATTTTATGATTGCAGATACCTTAATATAATGGTCATAAGCAGTTCCCACACTCCGGACAGCTTGCCTTGACTACTTCCTTCATCACTTCCTACGTCGCGGACCCGTTTTCCTCCCTTCCCTTATAATTTTTGGAATTCAGATACCTAAATCTAATCGTCATAAACAGTTTCCACACTCCAGACTGTTCACCTTTAGTACTTCCTTTAACACTTCCTACGTCGCGGACCTCAAGCTAGTGTCGTCATTTGATTATTTTATGATCCATACCACCGTTTATGTTCTAATATCTGTAGAATAATGCTATCAGATATTTATTTATCTACTGCATTCAAAAGTCAACAGCTGATCATATGTCTTTGTTTATGTGTCAAATACTGCTTCCATAAGGATTACATTGAAACTTTGAAACCCAGTGGGGCGGATTCCTGAGAGTTATTTTTAACGCCATATAGATGTTGGCACTCACCGATATGGTCTTTATCATCATCCAAAATTTGAAAACGATTGATTCAGCCGTCTAGGAGGAGTTTGCGTATTACGAAATGCATTAAAGTCGACGTATAAGAGCTTCGCTCGCTCCGCTCAATTAGAATTTCTTGAGAACTACTTTAGCAGCCTCTAACCTCAGCTTTGGCAGTTGTCGCCCGAATGTTGTATGGGGTGAAGCTCCTCAGGAACTTCCAAGGGAAGTTCTTCAAGTCGAACACGATGACCAGACCGTTCCTCTGGGTCTCCTCCTCGTCGCAGGCCATGGTCAGCCAGAGGTCGTCCACTTGGAACATTTCATGGACTTCGTGAGCGCCGTACACCAGGTTAGCTGAAACCTTCAAGTGTTTACTGTCGAAATGATAGTTGAAATGTTAAAAAGAATGAACTATAGACCGAAAGCCGTGCTGAGATTAGTATTGGTTCTGACATCCACCACTGGGAGCGTCATGTAGTTACGTAGCGCGTACTTTGAAACTACTCGGCGCTCCCAGCGGTGTAAGCCAGAACATATGCTAACCGCAGCACAGTGGTCGGCCTATATTTAATTATTTTATTCTATGGTTATATGTATTCTTACTTACTGAAGTTCCCACACGCATCCAAAATTTGTACTTTGCCTCAACACAGGCACTCCAGAGGGTCCCGGAATGCAACATCCTTCTCACTATAGCCTGTATGATGGAACTTGTCTCCAGTGTCTCCTGGCTACTTGGGCCTGGCTTGGGTTTAAAACCATTGGTCAGTTCCCAGGATTTAAGATTAAACAATCCAACATAAGAAATTCTGCATGAATTTTTATATTATTGCCAATGGCGAATCTAATGTATTGTCTTACAAGGTGTATAGCAATGACAGGGTGCCCCTGAACTCTGTACTGATCTTTTAAGATATCATTTCTGGACCAAAGACAAACTAAAATATCACTTTTAAAATGAGCAAAAATAATAAATTACTAGTACAGCCTCTATTTTTTTACAAAACCAGTTTTTAATTCCTGACACGCCTTTTTGTAGTGAATTAAAATTTGGTGTTTGAATTAATAACGCAAATGCCTATTTTGAGAAAAGTTTTTTTGGTCGTGTTTAGTTTCAAAATTGGTCATGTATAGTTAAAAACTAAACCAGTAAGAAAAAATACTTTTAATTTTTTTAGAAATTTTTCTCACAATTCTATCGATACCAAATTCAAGAAAGTCTGTTTATAAATAAGGGAGAAAAAACTAAATAGTTTAAGATACTGTGTATATCTTATGCCCTATTTGCGCTCATAGGGTGCACATTACTGCTAGAATGCTGCTAGTCAGCTAAATCAATCAGCTGATTTAATTGTTAGCTACTAACCATGCATATTTCACCCTATATATAATACTAGCTGTTGTACCCGTGCTTTGCAACGGGAAGAGGACACAAAATATAAACATTTGTATATTTACATCTGTTGCATATAATATAGTTACACATCCACCAACGCTTTTAGAAACAAAATTCAACTATTATGGCCTTAATAGAAACGTTTAAGTTATGACTTTAAAATCTAATAAGTAGTGGATACCACCATGAACATTTTTTATATTTCACTCTTCTTTATATTAAATCACAAATATCCTTCCATATTCAGTTTCTTCACTCACAATAAATCATTAGCAAAACTAAGCCAGCTGTTATCATCTTTAGAAATATTGTTGTGCCTTATCGATAGTATTTTGAAATATTAAAGAGACTATATCTGTACTATAAAAAATGTTAAACAAATAATTAAGCATTAACGACAGCAGACAAAACTAATATGAATATCAAAGCACCAAGGACCAATGACAACAAAATGTAATAGCAAATACAGTATATGCTTCATTGCATCTCTAATTCTACTCTACAAAAATATCAACAAACAACTTAATATCATACCAGTTCTTTTAATCAGTTCCATATGGTTCCACCGACTATTGCCTTTACATTTTCACACTTACCATTAAGTAAACATAGTAACAGATATTTAATTGATTTTAGAAACAAAAGAACACTGTGTACTGCTTAGTTTAATTATATTTTCCTTGGTTTAATTTAATCAGTGATGTGACAAAACACAAATAATAAATTTATCAAATAAAGTAAATGTAAACTGAAAGCTATGTTAAGATAAAATAAGAGTATTTAAATCAACAATATACAATTTAGTTATTGATGATATTCTTTAGTTTAATTTAAGCATAGGTTTAGCAAAACACAATAACTAAATTTACCTAAATATACATATAAAAAAAACAATGTGATGTGAAAGTTATGTTAAGTTAATCTAACAGATGTTAAGCAGTTCGAATATATTTTAAGTAGACTCCAAATTTATATAAAACATCTATACATTGTAATTTTCTTATTGTTTCCATGAAAATATATCAATAAAATTATTTTCATAACACTTAAGACACCTTAAAAATCGAAAGTAGAGCCTGAGTTGATGCAGCAATGCTTTTAGAATATATTTTTTTTTTCTATAATCATTGACATAGTTTTTGAATTAATGGTCTTTGATACATTTTTAGATTAAATAAACCAACCACATAATTGTATGAAATATTATATTAAATTTCATTGGATCAGCTGTCTTAAAATGTGAAATATGCAATTTGGCAGTTCTTCTTGTTTACATTGAAATGTCAAAGCAAATGTAAACATTGTGAGTTTTCTCATTGCAGCCATGGAGACCAATCAATATTTACTTTTAAAATCCTCACCCCAGAACTTTTAAGGCCAAAGGGGCAAAGCCCACGGTCAGTATCGGAATGTGAATAGTCCTATAATGGTCCTTGGTATGGTAAATATATTTTTGTAAAATTTAAGCCCAGTTGGTTCAGTAGTTTTTGCACCTATTAGTAATACACATACAGACAGACACCATTAGATTTTTATATAATAGTATAGATGAACACATTTATATACAAAACAAACTCACCAAGTTTGTAGACAAATATTCTTCTGCCCAGTGGGTCTCTATCTTCTAACATTGTGTTTATGCCTTTTTTGAGAATCACATCGTGTAGTTTAGGATCCCTCTTGAATGCGTAGAAGTCGCTGTACTTTTCTTTTAACTTGTAATAGGATATCACCTGCCAATGTAAGAGTAGGAGCTCTATTAGTACAGGACAGATAGCGATTAACCTAGAACAAATTAGTTCAAGAGTAAACTCTTCTGGAATGTGTTTGGGACACACTCCTTAACATTTCCTGAGAATTCCCAAAAAATCCCACTTCAGCAAAATCCGCCATCTTGGAAAATGGCGGCGAAACAAATCAAACTTGCAAGGTTTTACGGAAAATGTTATAACTACAGATTTATACGACTTATAATAGTCGTATGAAGCTCAAACTACTCTACAGAAAGTTTACCTCAAGAAAATAACACATTTGTTGGTATTTCATAGTTTTAATATATAATAATTGTAGCTTAAATACGATTTTTGTAATTTCAAATGTGCCTAGTTCATTCTTTTTCTGATTTTACGCCGGTAATACATAAATTAGGTATATACCACCCAGTTAGTAAAATGTAGAGCTTTAAATTTCAAACAATATACATATGACTTTTGTGATATTAAGCCAACAATCACGCCAATAATAAGAGATTGAATGCACCAGTGTGCGCAGCGCGTAGTGCCGTGGCGGCTCGGCACCGCGGCCGACCTACAACAATCATCCGCTAACCACTCCGAATTCGCAGTCAAATATGTGGAAAATGTTGGATGATATGCAATTTTATACAACAATGCATTTTATTATGAACGAAAATATTTTATCACAATCACTAAATACTTCTTATATGATCAATGCTAAGTTTATTGGTTTTTGATCTGCAGGAACCAATTAATTATCAACTATGGTTTTTAAGAGACTTGATGCTAGTGATGGCAATTATACCTTATTACTTGGAATTTTGGAGACATTTACCATTACTTTGTTTGTAATAATTGGCTATGGAAAATGTCTGCAAAATTCCTACTATAATAATTTATTAACGTATAATAAGATATTTTAATTGAACAGGGTAATTTTGTTTTATCTTTTCATTGTTAAAAATTTTCATTGTGTCTTGCCGTTAAAAACTGCCCTAAAATCCTGCAATAATAACGATACCAATACACTAGGCTGAGAATAAATGCTCTTTACTTTAATCTTTTATTTTCATTTTGGATTAATAAAAAAATCTATTAAAAATTTAAATCTGAATTTAACATAAATTTACGTTATTTGTATAAATACAAGAATAGGTCCTAGTCATGTTAAATCTTTTGATATTTGATACAATAATTACTTTATGGTGAATAATGTGAATTTTATACAATAATGCGTGTAAAAAGAATACAACATAGATAATTTTATCAGATAAGACTGGGACGCATCACTGGCTGTGTATTCTAACCGGAATATGAATGAAAGATGACAGTGGGATTTGTTATATGATATGTTTTTTTTTATAGATGTATTATTACGACAGCTGCCTTGATTAAACTACACACAGAATAAAAATATCATTCATGTAATCAATAAAGTTTAGTATTTTAAATTTTCTTTCTACTTTATTGTTCCGGTTTTGAACTATGTTTTAATGTTTTTCTTAAATATCCTTTATAGCTGTAATAAAATTATACGTTTATTTTTATTAGTAAATATTGCTTAATGTGTCTAATAATTGTTATTAAAATTAAACTTATTCATATTTAAAATTTTTATTCATATTTGAATTTCTTATTCATGATTTTTTACACTTATTAAAAACCAAAGGACAATTGTTGTAAAATTTAAAAAAATTTAGGACCCACGTTAAACTTTGACTCTTAATTTCTCATCTGCGTCGCTTGGTTCCCTTATGCATCAAGACATCCAATTAAAAGTAAAGAAAATGATATATTCTCAGCATAGTGGATAGGTACCGTTATTGTTACAGGTTACTGAAAAATAACTAATAAGCAACATGAAGCCAAGTGATTAACATTATTTGTAAAAGCAAGACAAATTTTGAACATTAAATAAAAAATGAAAAGATACTTTGAATCATTGTACACTAGAGGTTAACCAGTTGTCGAAAATCGTTCAAAAATACGTAGGCCTACAGTTGAATTTTTTTATCTAGAATCGGTTGAGGTATGTTGAAATATCTTTGAGGATGAACCTTTTTGGCTGAAAGTGAGTGTGATCATGTGTTCAATGTTCAAATGTCAATTTTTGAGGTTAAATCAAAACAAACAAACTGGCATGTTGTCAATCAGGGTAAATAAATTAATTTAGTATATGTCATTGTCTGATTTATTTAAAAACATTCAGTATTTTGGCTACTGCATTTTATAACCCAAACTCGAATCTTGCTTTAATTCATCCCAAATTCAACTAAATTTGTATGTAAAGAACATTATTTCTCAGCCTAATGGATTAGTACTGTTATTATTGCAGGACTTTGGGGCAATTAGACTATTAAAATTACCCTGTTCAATTGTAAATATGTAAATAAAATCTAAATTCTTTGTCAAGAATATACCATAACAACAGTTACAGGTAAATATTAAATATCTTATTTTCCCTTAATTAATTATTATAGTAGGAATTTTGCAGACATTTTCCATAGCCAATTATTACAAACAAAGTAATGGTAAATGTCTCCAAAATTCCAAGTAATAAGGTATAATTGCCATCACTAGCATCAAGTCTCTTAAAAACCATAGTTGATAATTAATTGGTTCCTGCAGATCAAAAACCAATAAACTTAGCATTGATCATATAAGAAGTATTTAGTGATTGTGATAAAATATTTTCGTTCATAATAAAATGCATTGTTGTATAAAATTGCATATCATCCAACATTTTCCACATATTTGACTGCGAATTCGGAGTGGTTAGCGGATGATTGTTGTAGGTCGGCCGCGGTGCCGAGCCGCCACGGCACTACGCGCTGCGCACACTGGTGCATTCAAACTCTTATTATTGGCGTGATTGTTGGCTTAATATCACAAAAGTCATATGTATATTGTTTGAAATTTAAAGCTCTACATTTTACTAACTGGGTGGTATATACCTAATTTATGTATTACCGGCGTAAAATCAGAAAAAGAATGAACTAGGCACATTTGAAATTACAAAAATCGTATTTAAGCTACAATTATTATATATTAAAACTATGAAATACCAACAAATGTGTTATTTTCTTGAAGTAAACTTTCTGTAGAGTAGTTTGAGCTTCATACGACTATTATAAGTCGTATAAATCTGTAGTTATAACATTTTCCGTAAAACCTTGCAAGTTTGATTTGTTTTGCCGCCATTTTCCAAGATGGCGGATTTTGCTGAAGTGGGATTTTTTGGGAATTCTCAGGAAATGTTAAGGAGTGTGTCCCAAACACATTCCAGAAGAGTTTACCTTTGAACTAATTTGTTCTAGGTTAGGGCCTTTTTTTGCATAACTGTCCTGTACTATATTTATTATGTTAGTATCTTAAAATGTGCTTTGTAACGGAACGGAAATACTATAGCTCTGAGTAAGATCATGTATAATTATGAAATAATTTAAAAATAAATCTATCATACATTGATTGTAAAACGTTACATAGTTATTCTATTAAATTCTATAACCGATAGTACCACCAGAGATATACCCTTTTACCACATTTTACCAACCAATACAGTTAAGCTAAAAAAATAGTCCAAAAGTACCCTATGACCAACCATATGACTTAGCCATATGACCTAGGTAGCCTATGACCATAGGTTCCAATTATGCTTATTAGACAGTACTCCTCACATGCTATCCTTACGGAGGAAAATGAACGAATATTTACTGCTAGTTGTTTTAGTATCCCCAAAAATATTTTCAAATTTCGTTGGTTCAACTTTGGGCCGTTGAAATTTATCCTAAACCAAATTTTCGTTCCTTGTAACAGCAAACCTAAATGGGGAGGGAGTAAAGCTTTATTTATAAGAATAGAGGGCTTAAGAGTAAATTCCTTATGGTTACAAGTAGAACCTCGATAACAAGACTCTCGTGGGGATTATTAAATAAGACTTGTTATCAAGGTTGACTTCTTATTAAGGTTGGCAATAACATGTGATAAAAGGTAAAATAAGTTCAAGGGGATCTGAACATTGCACTTGTTATTATTATCGAGGTTCCACAATATGTTTTTTGTACAAAAATGCAATAAGGCAACCGAATAACATACAGCACAGCTGGTTTGTTTGAACGGAGATATTTTTAACTTACTGAAGATAGTTTTTTAGAAGATTATTCAAGAGACTGAATAGTTGACTGTGACCAAACAATGTTGTGTCAATAATTGAACAGATAAGTCATTTCAGACACAAAAATCAATATTTACCTAAGCACAATCAAACATGTATTATTTATCAACGGAAGATATATTTTTAAACCCACTTCCTTTGAGGTAAAAGACCTCAAATGAATTCATACAGTCCTAAAAATGCTTGATTTACCTTTTCTAACGCTTTGTCGATGTCATAATCAGTGAAGTGGAGAAAGAGTTGAAGTAGTTTCTCATCAGCAGGGTTTCCAAGAAAAAGGAATTTTTCTTCTGAAAATGTTTATCACCTCATTTAATAAGATAAAAAATGTTATATTAACATTATTAAGATGTTATGTTTTGTATAATCAAGCGTACTATTACTTTAGTCCAATAGTTTTGTAACGCCATTTTAAAGTAAAGGTATTAAAAAGTATTAACTTTTGCCTACGACCCTTTTTTAAACTAGCCGTTTCAACTCAGTTCTGGGAATTAAAAACAATCACTTAACAGCATTGTTTACTGAACAGCATTGTTTTATTGACAACACAAGTAACGGACCAATGAAATTCAAGGATTGAGAGAAAAGAAGAAGAAATTTTGTAATGCTTCGAAATTTAACTAATCAGCTGTTAAGTCTAATTTAATTGTTAATGAGTGGTGCAATTATAGGTTGGTACAATGAGTCGTTGCATCACTGTCAGTGTCAATGAGAGTTTATAAACAAAAACATAACCTCTCTTACAAGTTATGAGTAGTTATTCAGTGATTGTTAGTAATTAAAAATCTGTCGTAGGTAAAGTAGTGTACGCAACTCGCGTAATAAGTCTTAACGCGGTGTTGCGTAAACTAGTGTAAGTTGTTCAAAAGGCGTGTTTTGTAAATTACCAAAATCAGACGTTACTAAAACATTAGCTATGGATCAGCTATGAATGATTGACCATGAGACAATGAAGTTGAGTAAAATTATGTTTAGTTTATTTTTACACAAATTAAAAGGGGACTTAAAGTATTGAGCTACAAACAAAGCAGAAAATTAATACACATTCACTCAAAATACAATTCATTTTCATTTAAATCAATGCAAAAGTGTATAACACATTGAAATATTGTGTGGAAAGTAGGTGAAAGATAACAGATCGACCGTTGTACAATAAATGATAAACAGTAATACAACAAATGATACCACAAGGAAAACTGCATTCAGAACAAAAACCAATATTTGTGTAATGTTTTCATACTAACTTCATATATTTTAGCCATCCAATAAAATTAAACTCTTTTAAAAAGTAAATTAAATGTTACTCAACCCGATATGAATAGTCTAATTATCATAATAAAATAAACGAATGATTTTTTAGTGCTACCCTACAATTAGAATAGTAAAATTCCTTAAACATTTGATAAATTATTGTTTAATTATTACTAATTTTAGTTCAATAAACTATTGTTCTATATAGTACAAAGACCATTGAATTGAGTATTATCATTGTATTATTTAATTTTGTAAGGATGACCTACTAGATCATACTATCATTTGGATTATTTAGTTACATCGTTCTGGGTTTGATGTTTTAATTTCTTTTATCAATAGGTTTAACAAACCATACGCTATATTAATATAATCTTACAGCTTACATATTACATATTACACTTACTAAGAGGATTAGACGAGTAATTGATAATGATTGAATTTTACTGTTGTAAGTATTTGTAAGATGAGAACAATCAGCTGTTTTCAAATCATAAATTTTTCGTAAATTATTTCAACAATTAAATTATTAAAACAAAACAGGTTGAGTCAAATTTACTTATCAATACTGTAGTACAAATTAATTGTAACAATCATCCTGTCGCGTTTTAAGCGGTTTAGTCATCACAATGGACTTAGATTTCCAACTCAATGTTTAAACAATGTATACAACCATTTGGTATAATAAAAATTGAGGGATTGTAATATTATGATGAAAACAGTATTCTAGTTAGCCTGGGTCATGGTGCTCACCCTCAAATCTGAAGGTCGCTGGTTAGATTCCAGACTAGAGCGTCTCTGAACCCAGATGTCATTTATGTCTACAAAAAAAGTTTGAAAAGTGCCAAAAACGTACAAACACGAATAAATAGTATAATTTCAAGAACCCTGTTTTTATTTCTCCTTTCAAAGTAGGTAACTAACAAACTTACTGAACAATAAATCATAAATCACTTAAAATTCACTTATATTTCGATAACAATGGTAATTATTATGCTTTCTCTGGTTCCATTACCTGACAATAGTATCCTGAGATGGTTAACTGCATTGATGGTGATGGTTGACATTACGCCCAGCCTGTTGTGTCGACAACGAGCAAAGTGAACAAACGTAACGTTTTATCACCTATGATATCACTTGTATACCCATGTGTAGGAATTGACGTAATGAAATGCAGTGGTAGTTTAGAAGTAATTTAATTATATTGTGCAGCAAATTGTAAATTGGCTGGATTATAACATAGGCACGTTTTAGTTTTTTTAATAGCTTTAACACAAATATTTAACAACGATATTTAATCAGGGATGGAAATTGTGGTGGCCTTGTTTTAGCGAATTTCCCATATAGGGAATAAGCTATTACCGTAGTACTCACGGTAAGACCTAGACCCGGGACCGATTTTTTTTTCGTTTTGAGGTCCCTAGAGGTCAAAAACATCATCCGTTCAAATTCATATATATATATATATTTATATATATATATATATATTTATATATATATATATATTTATATATATATGTGTCCGTTAGCGCGATAACTCGAGCAAAAATGATCCGATTTTGATGAAATTTGGTACAAATGTGTAAACCTACGTTTATTCGAACGAGTTCGCGAACCAGCATGATCGGACCATGGGAACGGGGGTTTATGGGGGCTGTTATGGGGTAAAAATGGGTTTTTCCCATTTTTGACCCAAAAAACATAAAATTTTGCAATTTCTTTCGAAACTATTTTGTAGAGCTTAAAAAAAACAAATAATTTAGTATATTGAAGCGTTATAATGCGCCTAATGGTTACGGAGAAAATTCCAAAAAATTGTAAATTTAAAATTCCCATGTTATTCTTATGGAGAATAAGTAAACTGTTGTAGTTTGCTTGTTTATAAACATATTTTGCCCAAATTTGGAAAATGTTTTTATTTCTTACTAACTATTAACATTTTACATAAAAAACACTATTACCCTCCCTGTTGCAGCAAACCTAAGTATGTTTTAAACTGATTCTATTTAAATAGGGAATAAATGTGATAATTTTAAGGAGACATTTTAGTGTAAATCCATTCAGGGAAATGGAAATTCGCTTAGTCTGCAGGTTTGCTGCGGCGGGGGTATTTTATTTGTTGAAACTGTCTTTTCCTCAGTGCAATATTACGCTATTCTGTAGGACTGGTACTGCATCTCATGCTATGTAATGGAGCATGCATCTTAATTTGCTGAAGCTTAAAATTTTACCAATTGTATAGTACGTTGCAATCCCTAGTGGAAATAAGAGATAGTTTTCCATCACAAAATAGTCTAATGCATTTGAGTTAGTTGAATTGTTGTAGAAAGATAGTATATGTCTAATTTATCTATTTAAAGGTCACTAAAATTACAATGATTTCACCACAATTTTCACATTTAGTCTGTCTACGCTTTGAAAAAGATAGAAATGTTGTTCAAATAGATTTTGGAAAGCTAGTTGCAGTAGTCAAACTTAGATTCTAAAAACAATGTTAATTTTTGTCTACAGTATTTTCAAAGAACTACTGTAATCTTCTGCATTTACTCTTCGTTGCAAAACTCGTGTATGCAATATCAGTAATACGTACAAATTATTACAAAGTATGACAATCGCCATTTTTTACAACAAAGTAGTGGTAATAAGCTGGGTTTACCCCACTTCCGGCGTTTTTTGGCCCAGAACTTTTAAAATTTTCGGCGAAAAAAATGTCCGAAGCCCCAGGAGCTTTTTTTGGCCACTTTTCTTAAGGACCTAGCTCTCGACCTATACACCCATATATAAATTTTTTACTTTTTTAATACTGAAAAACACGTCTGGAAATGGTGAGCTTTTTTTGACCACTTTTTTAAAAATCCAGCTCTTGGCCTATACAAGCCTATATTAATGTTCAATACCATTGTACAACTTCAATCCACATCCATTCACAAGTATATTCTCAAAATCATCAACTTGACAGTGCGAGGTTTGTATGTGAACTCGGGTGCGCTCCCGGCTCATGGCGTGGGTATGCTCCAGGCTTCTTGCTCTCGACCCATGCTCCCACATCTCGTCTCTAGTGGTGACGCGTTCCCTTGGACATCCTTAGTGGAAATCCATGAGTTCTGGCTACTTGGAAACCCAAGCCATTTGACATACAACGAATCACCCTTTCTCCTAATTACCTTCTCTACTAAATACATGTCCTTATACTTGGTCTTTAACAACTCCTCTGTATAGAAACCTCCTCTGATTATATTGCCATTTTCATCTTTCAAGATATAAGTTACAGGCTTTGTATTCTTAACTTCTGCTATTGTAAATAGTTCCCCTGTCAATTTGGAGTATAACCTTTACTAAAAACATGTTTATACTTGGAAATCCTCACACTATCACCTACCTTATATCTTGGTTTTTTAACTTGCACTACTTTAGAAGTCCTTTCATGCAACCTCTCATGCACATATTTACTATTCTTAACATTCACTTGGTTAGGCTTCATTCCTATAGATCTATGCACCTTATTATTATATTTTCGAATTAACTTTGGAAGTAAATCTAACCATTTATAACTCCCCTGAGCACTAAATTCCCTATATAACCAATTCTTTAAAGTTCTCTGAAACCTCTCCACAATTGCAGCCTTAGTTGTAGAAAATGTGTGATAGTGATTAATATTTAATTTTTTCATTAGTTTGCTAAAATATTGATTAAAAAATTCTTTTCCATTGTCAGATTGAATGTTTTTAACCCCCTTTGGTAGAATTGTTTTAATGGCTTCTGTAACCACTAACCCTGTCTTATTCTTTAGTGGAGCAGCATAAGCTTTTTTAGAAAATGTATCTATTAAAGTTAAAATATATTTATTGCCAGAATTTTCTCTAGCATAGTTTTGCATATCAATTAAATCTATTTGTATGGTTTCGTTTATACCCAATACTTTAAAAGACCTTCTAATGAAATTCTTTCTTGCAGGCTTATGAAGTTCGTATGCAATTTCATTCATTTTTTATAACATCATCCTTTCCTGTAACTCTAAATACATCACCATTAGCCCCAATCAATAGATTATCTTCCATTCTTTTAAATACATAGTTTTCTGGTATATATGGTCTATTATCTATATACTTAAATCCACTCAAAGATGTGGGGTCAGCAACTAATAAATCAGGATTATATTCCATCAAATTAAAAAATTTTTCTCCATATACAAATTTTGATCCATCGTAATGCATAGCCTGTGACATTAGACAAATGTCATCCGAATGTTCCCCTTTTGGTAGATTTCTTATAAATAGATTTCTGGCATCAAAACAATATAGTTTTTTATTATAAGTTATAGTCTGTTCTTTTATAACACAGTCAGTGTCATCAATGGCAGGTTTAACACGTACTAACTTTTTATTATTAAAATTCCAATAGCCTGCTTCCATTTTTGGAACTTGTGAAACATTCACAGCATCTTTACTATCTGTACCTTCCATCAAATCACTAAGTTTCTGTTTCTTAGCATTCCAAACACCATTCTCTGATTCTAAAAATTCATAATTATTATCGTCTTGTATAAATTTACCATCTTTTTTTCGTATTAAAGTCTGTTGTAAAGTGGGCACATCATTTAAATTTTCACCCTTTTCTACATTAGTAATTTTCCGTTTCTTAGCATTCCAAACACCATTTTCTGATTCTAAAAATTCATAATTATTATTGTCTTGTACAAATGTACCACCATCTTTACGTATTAAAGTCTGTTGTAAAGTGGGCACATCATCTAAACTTTCACCTTTTTCCACATTAGTAATTTTCTGTTTTTTAGCATTCCAATTTTTATTCTTGGATTCTAAAAACTCATATTTAGTTTTACCTTGTAAGAAGACATCACCTTTTCTAGTTAATGTCTGTCCCAAAGTTGATACATCATCTACAAACTCCCCATCTTTAACATTACCAATTTTATGGTTTAAACCATTCCAACTATCGTCTTGTAAATTTAAAGTAGGTTCACTACTAGCCCTGGGTTCTGCAGGCTTATTATATGGATTATATAAACGATAAAATTTATCTATAAACATATTTTTATTTAATAAATAATTCCACTTTCTCTCAATTCCTCAATAATGGAATCTATTTCATTATCCACTCCTGAGTTACCGGCTTGGCGACTTAGCCAAAGAAGTCTTAACCTATCTACAAGCTCATTAGGATCATCCCAATAAATATAGTCTATTTTATTACCAGTCACTTGTCTCAAACCTTCACCAACAGATCTAAATAGAGGTTTAATTATATTAAGATATTTAGTATGTCTATTACTTGAAATTGGTGCACCATCTTTGTAACTCTTTAAATGTCCATTTGTAGCTTCTAAAATCTCTTTATAATTTTGCAAATCAGCCGGAGTATAATCCTCAGGTTCTTTTAAAGTTAACAATTGCCACAAACCTTTTGTCCCCTTGTAGGTTTTATTTGCAATTGTAACATCATCATTGGCAATATTAACTTCCTTATTTCCAATAAAAAATTTATTTGCTTCTCGTCTAATACCATATGTAGTGTCTGTCATACTACTTTTACTGAGGTAATTTCCTAAATAGTCTGATGCTAAAAGACCAAAATCTAATTTCTGTGGGGTGTGTGTTTGTAATGGTTGCAATCTTGGTATCATTGATATTCTAGACGGAGTCATTGGGAGAATCTCCATTCGAGGCCTCTCTGATGTGATTTTTTTTAATTCTTGTAATGGCTCAATTAAAGGTTGAAATGTTTGGAACCTCTCTTCAGCCTCTAGAAACTTGCCACGTTTTAAAGCTCTATATTTCTCTCGTATTTGATTTGCAGAGTCAACCAATTCTTGTTGAATGTTTTTCATCTTTTATTTACATTTTATTTATCTCATTTGACAAAGGATTGTACTCAAACACTTTATCATGTATTATCAAACAATATGCAGATGTATTTGCTGGCACATTTTCTGCAGTTTCAATCTCTAATTTAATATCAACAATTCCTTCCTTCACTGTTTCGTTCTGTCTAGAACAGTCTATTACAATTAGTGGATATTTCTTCATAAACTCAGCTCTACTAATCATAGGATCTGGGATAGTA